CTACCTCATTAGGTTTTTGAAAGGTCTCCTCCCTGAGTTTGATGTTGTCCATACTCAGATCTTGATGATGAAACCATTACCCACAGTGGAAGTAGCAATTAATGATGTTCTACAACATGAGCAGAAACTGAAGGCAGATAAGAGCATTACCAGGGGAGTGCAGACAGTTGCACTTGCTGTACCAGGAGATAACTCAGATGAAAAGAAGTTCTGTCGTTACTGCAAAAAGGATGGACATGTTAAAGATGAGTGCTGGAAACTGAAGAACAAGAAACTCAGGATGGCTGGAGGAGTTGCTGCTGCTGTATCTCAAGGAGACCACTCCAATGAGGGTGATCATTCACCAAGTTCTGATTCTAAACATAGCTCCGATTCCAGAAGTGTTACTTCAAAGGAGAATTTGCATTTTTCACCAGAAGAGCTTAACAAATTGAGATATCTCCTTCAGTCAGTGCCCTCTCCTAGTCCTTCTCCACCAGCATCTCCTTCTGTTAATCATCTGGCTTTTTCTGTTGCTCACAGCATGTCTCAGTTCCCAAATCATGCTGGTAAGTTTATTCTTTCATCATTTATGCATCACAAGGCAGATCAGCTTGCCCATACTTGGACTCTGGATACTGGGGCATCTGATCATATTGCCTGTAACATTGATCTATTTGTTGAAGCCTTGGCAGTTAAAGATCAATTTGTCTACTTACCTAATGGGACTAAGGTTGTAGTTAGTCACATAGGAAAGGTCAAAATTTCCCCAGATCTTACCTTAGACAATGTTCTCCTTGTGCCAAGCTTCACTTTCAACCTAATTTCAGTCAGTAAACTGACAAATGATCAGCCTATCTCCTTACACTTTGAATCTGATGCTTGTCAAATTCAGGACCTGGTGACCCAGAAAAGGACTGGTTTGGCAAGACAGAGTAGAGGGCTATATCAGTTGCATACAAAGACCCAAGAACCTTTTCTATCTATTCCTCAAGCAGCTTTTACCTACAATTTCCAACCTCAAAATTTCCACCTCTAGCACATGAGACTAGGGCACCCAGGCAAAGACAAAGAGAAACAGACAATACCTTGTAATAGCAATGTAGTTTCCCATTGTCAAATTTGTCATTATGCCAAACACAAAAGGCTTTCTTTCCCTGTAAGCACCAGTAGAGTAGAGGATGTTTTTGGATTGATTCATGTTGACATATGGGGGCCATTGGCTGTCAAGTCACATGAAGGTTTTACTTATTTCCTAACCATTGTGGATGACTTTACAAGAGCTGTTTGGGTTTTCTTAATGAAGTTTAAGTCTGAGGTTGGTCCTTTGTTGCAATCCTTTTGCACCATGGTTGAAAGGCAGTTTTCCAAGTCTGTTAAAGTTATCAGAAGTGATCAGGGTTCTAAATTTCACATGTCTGAGTTCTATAGTGAAAAAGGAATTGAGCATCAACAGTCTTGTGTTGAGACTCCAGAACAAAATGCCAGGGTTGAAAGGAAGCACCAGCATGTGTTAAATGTGGCTAGAGCTCTTAGGTTTCAATCTGGCATCCCTCTTAGGTTCTGGAGTGACTGTGTATTGCATGCTGTGTATTTGATTAACAGACTTCCTTCAACTGTCCTTGAAAACAAGTCCCCCTATGAGCTTTTGTATGGTAAAGCCCCTAATCTGAATGGTTTAAAGGTGTTTGGTTCCCTGTGCTATGCTGCTACTTTGCACAGGGATAGGACCAAGTTTGATTCCAGGGCCAGGCAGTGTATATTTCTTGGCTTTCCTGCAGGGATTAAAGGCTTTAAGCTTTTTGATCTGAACTCACACTCTTTCTTTGTTTTCAGAGATGTGGTTTTCTATGAATCTATCTTACCTTTCCATTCTAATTCCTCTTCTATCTCTTCTCCTGATTCTTCTATTCCCATGACCACAGAACCTATACTTCCACAATTCATTCCTTCTTCTCCCACTCCATCAATTTCTCCCATTCTTCCTCACTCTACACCTCCTTCTCCACTTCAGCCTGCAAACTCTATTCCTTCTTCTTCTTCCACTTTTCCTTCTTCCTCTTCCACACTGCCTGTTGTTCCTGAGGAGGTTCCTCAGTTGGTCAGTTTGCATTCTGAGGGGGAGGACAGTGAGATTGATGTGTTTCTTGAGCAGAATGACACAGATGAGGCTGAATTTTTGAGAAAGTCAACTAGAACTCGTTCTGTACCTGTTTGGCACAAGGACTATCATGTCAGCATGGCTGCATCTTCCTCTAAACACCATATTTGTCATCAGGTTAGCTATGATCATTTATCTGCTTCCCAAAGAGCTTTTGCTCTTAGTGTTCTGTCTATACAAGAGCCCTCATCTTATGCTGAGGCTTGCAAGGATCCTAGGTGGAATCAAGCCTGTAAAGAGGAAATTTATGCCTTGTATGAGAACCAAACATGGGAATTGGTCAAGCTACCACCAGGAAAGAAACCTATTGGTGCTAAATGGGTGTTTAAGGTGAAATATAGGTCTGATGGTACAATTGAGAGGTTCAAGGCAAGACTGGTTGCTAAGGGTTATACCCAGATATATGGAATTGATTTTCTTGACACATATTCCCCAGTTGCAAAGATAAATTCAGTCAAAACTCTGTTAGCAGTTGCTGCTGCTAAGGATTGGCACATCCATCAGATGGATGTGTCCAATGCCTTTCTTCATGGAGACTTGGAGGAGGAAGTGTATTTGGAGATACCACCTGGTGTTGATGTTCCCAAAGACTCAGGTCTTGTTTTCAAACTTAAAAAGTCACTGTATGGCTTGAAACAGGCAAGCAGACAGTGGTTTGCAAAGCTCACCAGTGCATTGTTAAAGAATGGCTATTCACAAACAGCTTCTGATTATTCAATGTTTCTGAGATGGATTCAGGGAAGAGTTGTGGTGGTTCTTGTCTATGTTGATGACATTCTGATTGCTGGGAGTTATCTGGGAGACATAGAACAGTTGAAGAAGTTTCTGAGTAAAGAATTCAAGGTTAAAGACCTTGGTCAGTTGAGTTATTTCCTAGGGCTGGAAGTAATGAGAGATCACAAGGGGATTTCAGTCAGTCAAAGGAAATATTGTTTGGAATTGCTTGATGATATTGGCTTTGTAGAGGCAAAAGGTTGTTTATCACCTGTTGATTGCAATGTGAAGCTTTCCGCAGACCAAGGAGAGTTGATGGCAGATCCTGGAGCCTACAGAAGGCTGATAGGGAGACTACATTACTTAACAATTACAAGGCCTGATGTGGCCTATGCAGTTCAACAACTAGCTCAATTCCAAGCTGCCCCTTGTGTTGAGCATTTACAAGCAGCACACAGAGTCATTAGGTACTTAAAACAAACTCTTGGTCAGGGTTTGATCTTCAGGGCAGATTCAAAGTTGGAACTTTCTGGCTACTGTGATGCAGACTGGGCAAGCTGTCCAGATTCAAGGAGATCTCTTACTGGCTATTGCACCTTTCTTGGCACGTCATTGATCACCTGGAAGACTAAGAAACAAACTACAGTCTCCAGGTCTTCTTCTGAAGCTGAATATAGAGCTTTAGCTCAAGTTGTGTGTGAAGTGCAGTGGCTGAGGAATCTTTTGACTGAAATGGGAGTTAAGGTACCTGTACCAATTCCTCTCTTTTGTGACAACAAATCTGCTATGCATATTGCTGAAAATCCTGTGTTTCATGAAAGAACGAAACACATTGAAATAGACTGCCATGTTACTAGAGAAAGGCTAAAGTCTGGTTTGATCAAGCTGTTCCATGTGAGGACTGATGACCAAGTTGCGGATTTGTTTACCAAGGGCATGACTCGTTATCGTTTGAAGTACCTGTTGGACAAGCTGGGAGTGTGTAATCCTTACTCGCCAGCTTGTGGGGGAGTATCAACTGAGTTGGAAGAAGTTGAAGCTCTGCAGAAATGAAGATTGGACTGCAGGCTCGAATGAAGAAGAAAACTCACCCAGAAATGAAACGTTTCTGGGTTCCCTCCACTCAGCGTTTAAATGAAGAAGCAAAGCGACGACGTACTGGCAATGCGACGGCGTAGTGAAGCTTTGGAGTTTTACCGTTGGAGTGGACTTACCGTGGCAAACGAGAGATGGACACGTGTTGTTTTACCATTTATCATTTTCATATTTCTGTTTTGTAATTTCCGTTTTTACTGTTTCGTGAAGAACACATTTCCAGTTTCAGTATAAATAGAAATCGCAGGAGATCCGCTGCTCCTCGCGCGTTCCCCATCTTGTGCCGCATTCTTCTTCTTCCTCTAACCCTAGCTCAGCTAGTTTTGATAGCCTGCAATTCCTGGTTTTGATTTCGCAGAGAAGAGGATATTGATTTCGTGAGAAGGGAGAAGTTCGTCAGAAAGAAGAAATGGGATTTTCCGAGAAAATCTGGCGTTGCAAGTCTCCCGCCAGCGTGCCGTTCAGCGGGTTCAGGGAGGTGAGAGAAAGAAATCGAACGTTGTTCGTCGGCGTTTGTTTAGTGGCGATGAGCGGACTGAAGGGAAATCCTAGCCCAGCCTAGGAGAGGCTTCTTTTTATTTCTATTTGTTCCATGTGTGAAAGGGGTATTGATGGAGGGAGAAGCAGAGGGTACAGTACACGAATTGGTGGACTGGGGAGGAAGTGACATTGAAGCCTCCGGTCATTGAGCGGACAGAATTTAAGCACGCGCGGCTAATTACTTGGTTCGCCGCACGCGGGACTATGGGGGTTAACATGGGTCTGCCGTAGGGGGAAAATCACAGGGTGAACAGTATTCTAGAAATCAGTGATTAGCGCTTTTTTCGTAAGGAACAATTTTTTCTTTTTTCGTTACTTACGCCTTAATAATGCTAATAATGTGTCTTTAATGAACAGTCATTTTTCGTAAGGAACAAATTTTTTTTCGTTACTTACGCCTTAATAATGCTAATAATGTGTCTTTAATGAACAATAATTTTCTTACTTGTTCTTTTAAAGATATAATAATAATAATAATATCGACCATTTTCCGTGAATTGGGTTTTTAGAAGAAGAAGATTCTTGTACTAATATTGGTATTGAGCAGCGAGCTGGGCAGTTCAAGAAGCTGCTTTTGTTCTCTAGAAATGATTATTTGGGCTTGAGTTCACATCCCACTATCGGAAAAGCTGCTGCCAAGGCTTGTTTGACGTTTGTCTCTGTCATATCTCAAATATTGTGGCTGCTTCCGTTACTAAGAGTGCACTGAACTCTATTGCTAAAATCAGGCAGCTCAGGATGATGGAATGGGGGCTAGAGGTTCTGCTTTGATCTATAGGTACACTAATTACCATAGACGGCTTGAATCTTGCTTGGCAGAGTTGAAGAAAAAAGAGGTAAATTAGCTTGTGTCCCTAATCTCACTGCATTGTTAACTAGGACTCCTTATGATCTTGTACTCCAACCTTACGGTTGAAATCCTTGTAATTCAGCTTCTTAGTTACGAACACACTTAGTGCTGTGTAATATTATCCAACACCTTCGGATTAGCCTGATTCGACTTGACATGTACATCCCTTTGTTATTTTTTGCCTCGTAAACTGAAACCTGATACTTGATATTGCATTATCTGCTGCTGCAGGACTGCCTTCTTTGTCCTTCAGGCTTTTCAGCCAATATGGCTGTAATGGTATCTGTTGGAAGCAATGTCTCTCTTTTGGCCACATTTCAGTAGAAACCTCTAATGGAGGAAAAGGTTGCTGTGTTTTCTGATGCTCTGAATCATGATTCGATAATTGATGATATTCGTCTTGCTGAGAGACAACTGACAATTGAGGTCTATGTGTATAGGCACTGTGACATGTCCCACCTTAGAACATTACTGTAATTACTTAGCTTTTGCTTGACCCTTACTCGTACACTTTTTGCTAGTTTTCTGATTTTATGGCACTCATGTCAATTGTTCTATGATTTTGTTTCACAGCTCAAGCTGCTCGTTGAAGAAGAAGGTTATTGTGACTTATAGGTTAGTCAACTTCTCAGTGCTACATTTACTAATGCTTTCTTGTTGCTCCAATTGTTGAGTAGTAAGACATATCTTTTTGTTCACTTTTTTTTAAGACATTTTTTCGTTCACTTTGGTGGTTTCTTATTAGCATTGTGAATATCAATTTTTTTTATTTTTTTATTTTAAAGCACTTATGTGCAAGGTTGTCAACCCGCGGGTTGACCCACGGGTCGACCCAATTTGACCCTGACTCGGTGAGAAAAACGGGCCGTATGCACCCGCCGGGCCGACCGCTATAAGGTACCGGGTTGGAGGTCAAATTGTGTCTTTTTTTTCTTTAGTTTGCGAAATGCGCCTATTTTCCAATTTTTCTTTTCGCCTAACTTAATCTTTCGAATACTAAGGTGAACATTTGAATATTTATGTTATATAAGTGTGTGTGAATTTTCACTATATGTTGGATCTAAGTACAATATGTTATTTTGGTGTAATTATATATGTTATAACTCATATTTTAGATAAGATTTGATATAATTTATGAGAATAAGTACAATATAATGACTCTTTCTATATTTCCGGGCCAAACCGGGCTAAAACGGTTGACCCATTAACCCTTGACCCACTAGCTTAACCGGGTCTGGGTCAACCCGCGGGTTGACAACCTTGCTTATGTGTGGCAGATGTTAGGGTTTTTTGCATGCGGTGAGTTACTAAATAGATGTTTTTTGGGGGTTATATTGTTTGTTTAGTATGGATGGAGACTTTGCCCCAATGGCTGAACTTGTGAATCTTGGGAAGAAACATGGCTTTTTGTTGACCATCGATGATGTAATTATTTCCCTAAAGGCTAGGTGTATGTGGTTAGAGGAAAATGTTTGACAGCCAAAGATCAACTAGCCTTCCATGGTACAGAACTTGCTAGAACTGTATATTGTGGATAAATAAGACTAGTAATTTTGGCAAATGGCAATAACTATTTTCAGGCTCATGGAACATTTGTTTGTGGCAAGGATGGTGGTGGAGTTGCTCAGGAGATCAATTGTGCAAGAGATTTCGATATATGTGTTGGCACACTGAGCAAAGCTGCTGGTTGCCATGGGGGATTCATAGCATGCAGGTACTACAAATTAAGCTCAATTCATGAGTGCTCTTATTTTATCTCAGGGCCATACAAAATGTCCCTTGTATATAAGTAAAAGTTGGAGTTGTGTGACAACCATTTGACAGTAAAAGGTGGAAGCAACTCATACAATCAAGAGGCCGCTCGTTTATATTCTCGACTGCTATATATACCAGTTCCTTCCTGTTGCAGCTGCTGCATGCGCATGGTAAATTAAACTTCTGTAGCTTTTTATTTCATTTGTGTTCAGTTTTACCTTATTCCTGGAAAGCTTTCCGATGTTAACAATTTCTGCATAAACCACCAGCTGCTGTAATTGTGGCGGAAAAGGAAGCATGGCGAATGAAGGGAATTTGGAAGAGGGTTCAGGACTTTCCGGTTCTTACTGGGATCCTTATCATCAGCCCTATTATTTCCTTCATTGTAGGCAGTGAAGAGAAAGACCTTCGAGCTAGCTGCCAGTGTCTCCCTCCTTCTGCCCCTCCTCTCTGTGTGCTTGGATGTGCATGGGTAATTATGAGTAGCTGCAATGCAACAGCTTGTAACTGTGCTAGTTGCTGTGAATCAGGTACATGTTGGAATCTGGATTTCACGTCACTGTCATCCGGCCCCCTACTGTGCCTCCCAACTCATGCAGGTTTCATCTCTTCTTCTAACTCTTTAAGATATCTGTTATCAGATATAGTGGACAGTAACTTTGGACATGAATTATCGAAATCCGAATACTACTATGGATATGTTTTTGTTGGTGGGATTGGATGTATAAGTTAAGCGAAGCCATTCCAAAAGGCCATGTGCAGTTTTAACGTTAGATTGAGCAGGTTGAACAGAGTTCCTCGAAGGGGATAACTTGTGCTAATTCTGAGATTGTTTCTTATTTATCAGGTCAAGAGTGACTCTTAGCGCAACACACACAGTGGGCGAGCGATTTGAAGAAATTAATGGCTGCACACTCAGAGCATCCACAACAACTTGAATGGGTATGCCAGACCCAGACTGTAGGTTAGTACTATATAGGGAGAGAAACAAGATCAGCAGTAGGGAACCCAACCGGTAGTTTTTTAGAGATAGTAGCTCCTCTACTCTATTAATACCAAAATGGAACGTCTTCCTATCCGTATTGTTTAACGGATCATATACTAAGGAATGTCTCTTTTATAAACTGGTCCTTCATTTTGAGGATTCGGACCCAGTGCTCAATGCTTTCCAGTGCAGCTGAAACATAATGCGATTTCGCTTTACCAATTTAATTGATTAGAGAAGAACAGATAGCAGAATGAAAACCCACTTAACACAGAAATGAATGGTTCGTAATCACAGCTTATAATATAATTATTAGCTCTAATGGTAAAGTTTTGGCCTGCTTATACTCGGATCAGAAAAACTCTTCGCCTTACCTAAGAAACTCAACTCTGCACAAGTGGGACCCCCTCTCCCTTGTGTTCTAATATATGTGTATAACTAATTAACTATCATAAAACTTCTAACTTAGCCTCGCTTGCATTCCTTATCTGATGCCGGATTACCACCACCAATAGCCAGCCATGTCTGTACTCCCAGCGGAAGGCATGATGAAGCTGCCATCTGCCATTTCAACACACATAGCAGTAAGATGGCAGAAAATTTGAAGTCTATGTTGGTGTCAAAAACTCACATTAACTAACACCAACTTCATCCCAACTACTTACATTTCCAGCACTGAAACTCTGCTGATGGTTTCTTCTCTGATAGGTGACTGGACCGGGGGAAACTTGAATCAGATTCTTGTTTTGGGTTAGGGGAACTTCGTTGAGGTTGATCAAAGGAGTTCTAGGAGTAGTGCTGCTGTTTCTCCCCTGCCGGCAGAGGATAGAGGGAACTGCAGAGGAAGAAGTTGGTGTGGTTAGAGTTATTGCGACGGAGCCTCTTCTTTCTGCTACTGGCCTCGTCACTGGGGAAGGAGAATGCTGTGAGTCGGCAGGGGCGAGTGTGGTTATGGAGGAGGACAAGGAAGAGACAGAAGAAGGAGTTCTAGCAAGTAAGCCATCGAGTTGGACTGGAGGAGAGGAGGCTGCAGCCATGTCCGGCCACAGGAAAGTTACCCCGGGCTTGCATATCCTGAACCCACTTGATCTCAGCCTTTTTATTTTGGCTGCTCGGTCTTCCATTGGAGTCAGTGTAGTTGAGTTTTGACTATGGTTTCCTTCCTCCCAACGTTGTTCCTCTGATTGTGTGATTATGAGCTGTGTTGCTCCTTCTTCTTCTAGCTGCTGCTGTTGTTCCAGTTCTTTCTCTTCTGCTCTCTTTCTTGTGGCCATTGCTTCCTAATATGACACAATAAGTAGACATTACTAGTGACCCAATTCTTGTAAAACATGAAAGGGAGGTACGCTTTTTCACCCCAGAGACACTAAACACTGTTTCAATTCTTGGCATCTAGCGCCCAAGTAGTGGAAAAGCAGTAGTGGAGAAGCTCTCCTCGAACGCACTTTCTTACCCCGCTTCCCCTCAGTCCCTCTCGGCCTTCCCCTCAGTCCAGCAAAAGTCATCGCCCATACTCTACAGTCAGCGCTACAGTTGCCGTACCTTTCCTACTCTTTTTCCCCGAAATCAAGCATTCACCGTTCAGTGCTCGGTCATGTCTATCACTTCGCCGTTCCATTCTGCTTTTTTTTTTTTTTTGAAAATGCCGTTCCATTCTGCTATCCCCAATTTTCCCATTCCCTTAACACTGGCTCGCTCACGCAACCGCCCATAATTTATGCGCCGCTTGCTTTCCTTCACTCTGGGCAGAGAAAATTGATTGCTTTCTTCTCGCCCAAATCGTCCTCTTCCGTTCAATCTCTCATTCTATTCTTTAGCTTCCTCTTTCTCCCCGTCACCGCCACAGCCTTCCGGCTAACCCGCTCAGCCGCTGTTGCCTCTTCTACTCGCCGCCATGAATCATATCGTCTTCTCGGAGCTGGCATCAAATTGCGCCTCCTCCATACACGGATGGCTGGGAACCCTTCCGGCCCAACGGGTTCTCTGAATACGCGACACTTTAAATGGACGAATTGGTGAGTTCACTCCACTTTTGGTTTCTGCTTGTCCGCGCATGTGCTTGCTCTTCCTGATTCTGCCTTCCCTCTTCTTCTGCCAGGGGGTGCTGGTACAGGGGCTTGCCTCCAAGCATCTGTCGGATCAATTGAGAGAGGTTCTTTCTATAGGGAAGATTTACTTCGTCACACAGTTCTCCCAACGCGAGGCAAAAAGAAAAAACGGAGGCAGGAGATAGAGGTGTTGAGATCACCGAGATTTTGCCGCAGTGTGACGATGTGGTGAAAGGGTGATTGGATTGACTCACTACAGCAACGACCGTTTGTTAAGGTAGGTTGTTCATGAGTTAGATAGTTTTGTTCAAGGGACCGATGAGATACACAAGTGAAGGACGCCAGGAAGAAGGTGAAGACTTCATACTAGAGAAGAACAAACCAAGAAAAAACCGAAGGAGAAGAAATCCATGAAAGAATTTGCGGATCTGAAATGGGAAGTTACAAAGTAGGAAGGAACTTTTAAATCGCTTAGGTCTTCTTCCATAGGTACATTTGCTGGATTATTTATTGAACTTGGTCACTCTTTCATCGGGTTTTTTCCTTCTTTCAGGCGCCAATAACACAGTCGACCTGACTTAGGTGTTGTTGCAGGTTATTGCGCAAGCGAATTGCAGATTTTTTGGCAGTTCTCAAGTTTGTTTATTTTTATGTACTCTCAAGGAAGGAGTTGACTTGATGCAACAGCTTAGAAGCAGAAGTAGAAAGATCAGGACTGAGTGACTTATAGTGAGAGAGGGAGAATGAATGCTGGGAGGAGGAAGATGTGAAACAGAAGACTTGGTAGAGGAGGAGAAAGAGTCACACACAACAACCAACATTTCATTGCCTACTCGCTTGAGCTTCGAAGTTTTGGTACTTCTCCCTCTCATCACTGCTGCTGTTGTTTCTCCATAATGAATGAACTGAAAATGCATTAGAGGAAGGAAAAGAAAAATAGCTTTGGCAGTCTTGGGTATTGGAACTCAAAGTTGGGATGGAGTTCTGGTGTGGGTATATTATAGAATAAGGAGGAAGCAACTTGAGGTGTTCGTTTGATATGGTACGAACGAGAGAAAAAAAAAACAGACAGACGATTGCAAGCCTTCTCTTTGCCTGCAGCTATTTGTTTTGTTCAAATAAAGTGCCTGGCAAAATAAAGAAACCTTACAAAGAAAAGAAAACGCTAGGTGCATTTTGTGATTAGTTCATCTCCTGAAATTTGGTGCAATTTTGCTCTTTTGGTTCGTTTTTCTCCAGCCTTGGTAGGTTTTGGTGAGCTAGGGAATAAGTGAGGGTCAAGAAAGAACACATAGAAGGATGACCCATCCACGACGGGCAGACATGAACCCCGCTGATACTTGCATTGTTCCTTTTCTTTGCACCTGCTTTCGATTGCTTCGTTTTCTCAATTATTTCTTTAGCTCTATATTGTTACCATTCTCAATACATTAAGGTATCTATGCTAGCTGATAATGGATACTGTCAAGTGCATTAGGTCACATCCTAGACTAAACTAACTCGAGGCTTTGGCTCTACCTTTTTGCTCTGGTGGTCCATTGATTACTATGGATTCAACTCATTGATGGACATGATTCATTATTTTCTATTACAGAAGGACATACAGTTTCTCTGTTCCATCGACTGAAAAACTTGGATGTGATGGAGCAATTACAGAACTCTGCTTGACTGGAAATTTGCTTTAGATTGTGGTGGACGGTGGCAGTGGTTAGGGTATTGTGGGTTTGACAACGGTGGTAGTTCTGCTGTTAGACCATCTTCTGGGAACAACAGGTAATTACTGTAGTTCTTGGCTGCACTTCATCCCCAACTCTATCTTCCTCTCATCCCCAACTGGGAGCTTCTCATTGTTGTCTCATTAGTAATAGCCTCAAATTTGTTTATACAGGCCAACACATGTGCATAAAGCACCTACTTGACAACTGGAACGTGATAGAAATGCTGGATGAGGTGTGCACAGACCAAGGAAAGGAGTTGAAAGAAATGGCGGTGAGATACTCGGTTTGAAGCCTCAAATTTGCCAAGGAAAGGAGTTGAAAGAAATGGCGGTGAGATACTCGGTTTGAAGCCTCAAATTTGCCAAGGTAGAAGGTCAAAGGAAGCATTTGGTCTTGATTGTGTGTAGTAACTATGGGTGATTACTTAACATAGAAGGCTAATGCATAATAGACTAGCTTTATACGAGTTTTATGATACCTGTTTTGATGGAAATAATGTTTCACAGATAAAAGAGAATTGAATCATCTTGCTTAATTAGAATGTAAAAATATTAAATAATCCCCGCGGCGTAGCCGTGGGTGTTGATTCTAGTTGAATGTGATTGAGAGCTTGAGCTTCTATTTAATACAATACCTCCATGACATGTAAGGACTCAGAAATTTCTGTCAGTTGTTCCTCAATTTTAGCCTTCTTATTGGACAGATCGATGAACAGCTCCTGAGGTAACACATTAATTGGATCAAAGGATTGACAATTAGAAGTCAGAAGAGTCAAGGAACTCTCAGACATATATGCACCTTGAGCGGAATAAGTAAGTTCTCCTGTTCCCTGCTTAAAGTGGTAACTGAAGAAATTGGCGTGGCTACAATGGCTAGTTCTTCCTCCTGTTTCTTGGAAGCCAGGTCTTCCATGTCCCTGATTTCCAAATCATCATCAGTAGAGGAGCAGCAAAAGAGAACAGCAGGTTATTAGGAATGTAAAGAGCAAATATAGCAAAGGAAGGGGCAGGATAACCTTTTCAGTTTCTCAACTTGCTCAGTTAGTTTCTTGATCTGGATGGCGCATACAGGGTCCTGAGAGGGGTTATCACCAGGCTTCCAACCAGGTGGTGGAATCCAGTATGGATCTTGCACTCCAGCCTCCCTCCTTAAGTCTAGCAGATTGGCCTTCTCCAGCCAATACTCCATTGAACCTTCTGCGTTGTGCCGCCTCCTGAACCTTTCTTCACCGCCTGGCGCCACCTTCCCTGCCATATGCTTCAGCAGATGATCCAACAGACCAGTATCTCCAATCAGCCTCCTAGCTTTTGCTCTCAATACTGGCCTTAACATTCGGTTGCCAAACCCTGCCTTCTCCTCTTTCATTATCTTCAACATGTTCACCTCAGCTAGTTGATACCTTCACAGACATAATAATGATTCCTTAATTACATGGAGGTCAAACCATTAAGTAGTTTAGGAAGCATGAGGTTGACTACAGCGTTTACCTTTCAGCGGACCATCTGTCAATTGTATTTTTCACCACCTTCTTCTTCTTCTTCTTCTTCTTCTTATTGATCTTCTGCCTATAAGCAACAATCTGATTCTTGTTCTTTCCCTGTTTTGCCCGCTTCCTCAGCTGGATTGTAGAAGACGGTAACTGATTCTTCTTTCTTTTGAGATTCTCCCTGCATTCTCTCGACTTAGCCTTCACAATGACCTCCTCTGTTTCTTCTTCTTCCTCACATTCCTCTTCACCAATCGCCGGATCACTCTGTTCTTCTTCCTCCTCACTTCCGTCTTCCTTATCATCTCCCCCTATCCAATCAGATGGTTCTTCCTTATCCTCCACATGCCTGCCCATGAACCTAACTTTCCGGCGTTGACCCCAGTTGACTATCCCGGTAGTCTTGAGCTCCGACAAGAGTAAAGCCTTACCACCATCGCATTTTGTAGATGAGGAACCATTTAGGCGGAGATTCGAGAAGTTCTGGGATGCAACAGAAGGAACTACCCAGAAATTCCAGTCCCGTTTTTTCTTCGCTACCTCGTCAGGTAGAATTCGCCGATAAAGAGCCTCCCCTGCAACTTCCGCTCCGATTATACATTTCTCGTCCAGCATGGGAATGTGCTTTACTTCTGGCCCAGAACACCCAGTCCCGTCGTTCAAGTACGCTCGGATAGAGTAAATGCTTGGGTACCTCAGCGAAACCCTCATCCTCGTTTTATCATTCACCTGAAAAATCAGACAAACCCAGAAGCGGGAATGAGAAAGAAACTGAAGCAGAAAAGTCTAGCAAACAGAGCAAAGAGGAGGGAAAGGAAAACGGAGAAGAAGAAGCAGAAGAAGGAGCTGGGTCCAAAAGAATTACCATGACAACTCGAACACTCTTGAGTTGATCAGGCGATCTGTTGGGGAGCATGGAGTGATCGATTTCGTATAAACAGTTCACTTTAAAATGCTCCGCTGGATCTGGAAGCGTGAAAGACGGTGGGGACGAACTCAGAGTTTGACCCAGAGGAGAAAGCCGGGACGACATACCAACAATACTCGTGAATTGGAAGAGAAGAGAAGGGTAAATCAAAGGACGACGAAGCAGGGTGAAAAGAAGGGGCCGAGATATATGGGGTGAGTGAGAGAGGGAGAGAGAAGATTTGCAGGCTGCTGCTAAATGTGTAGTGGAATGGGTTACCTAGCGCACGGGTCGGGGTATAACATAGCACGGGGGCCAAAGGCAAACCGAATTCCGGTGCTTCCAAAACAGGTCTTCTGGCGGCGGCGTAGTAGCACTCCTCTGCCGCCATTGGTGGTTCGTGGCCCTTTGAGTACATCATTGCCTGCATGTAGAAAAAGATTCCAATTCTTCGTGTATCAGAAGAAGAAAAAACATCACAACCATTCCGTTTCATTTCACTATCCTCATTTGGGCATTGCTATTCCAGTCCATCATCATTAACTACTCTGCCATGCCATCTCTAATTGTATTTCTTTTTTGGTATTCCTTTTGCTGTTGGTTCGGAGGGGACATCCCCACGGAACACTGAGGAATTATGCAATTAATGCGGGGCGCCGCACTCGCGCAGCGTCGCGCGCGTGAATGAGACAATGGCGGGAAGGGAAGAAAGAAGTACGTGTGGTGTGTGGGTCCCCCGGAGCTTTGCTAGCTCGGGAGCGCGTGATGTGAGTGGGATAACTGGCGAGGAGGGCTCAATTCTAGAAGGCAATTAGCATAACACTATAATAGAAAAGGCAAAAAGCGAATCGAATTTTCTCCCTCGGGAAAGGGCGTATGTTTTGCAGAGAGAGAGAGAGAGTAGCAGAGCTTACAGTGAGACTCCTCGCGGCAGCATCGTGAAGAAGCTCCATTGTCAAAAAAAAATCCCTGTAAAGAAAGCTCACTGTGAAACTGAAGCCAACTCCGATGAGCATATATTGAATTCATGAACCAAATTAGTTTGGCTAACTCTGGAATGAAAATCCAGTCCGTCGGCGGACTCAAATCAAATGCAAATGCAGAAACGTTTAACCCTACTGTTCGGTTCGAGTATTGTGCTGAACGGAAAAAGAAGGCAGAAAGTGGTAGAGACGGAGAAGAAAAGGGACGATAGATTGATTCTTTAACTGGGGTGTGTTATGGAAAACGTTTCACAATAGTATGTTTCTTGCCACACAAGTCATATATAGAAATCGACACATGCATAAACAACGCCCGAGCCAATAGAATTCACTATTTCTCCTTAAGGAATTTAGTTCCCCTCTACGGTACCCAAGGTTATTGGAACTATTCCTCCCAGGATAGAACGGACGTACCTTTTCTGGCTGTGCCGGTACTTGAAACACCAGAATCCGACGAACGCAACGATCGGAGAGAAGTCACACGACTCTGTTTTCCTTTATGAGTTTGTAGAGAGGAAATGCAATGAAGAATGAAAAATTCTTTTATCTTTTGGCCAGAAAAATTTCTTGGGAAAAATAACTTGTGTTAAAAACAGAAGGGGGTAGGTGTTTATTTATAGACAATGAAGGGGTGCGAGTGAAGGGATGTGACCCTTCAAGTGGGTGGTTACACCCCAACCATTGCAATGGTTCAGTGAAGGGATGTGACCCTTCAAGTGGGTAGTTACACCCCAACCATTGCATCGGTTCGCCATAGTAGTTGGACCGGTTGGTTCATTCCAACCGCCACATCGGTTCGGTCCGATTCGGTTCAACTTGGTTTAACCAATAACTCACCAACTATTGGCTTCTTCCCCTTTCATTCTCATTCACACCTTTCAAATCCCAACAATCCCCCACATGAAAGAGAATGCTAAGTTTTGAAAACTATGCAAAAAACTGTGTGACTCTCAACTAAGAATTAGTTGTATTAGGATAGGTGGGTTTCCCTTTGAACCTTCCCTAGTGAACATATATCGAGTATACCCACCAATCGGTAGATATGATATCTTTGAACCGTCGGTTTTTTCTTGTATACTAAGACAACATATGTCACACAACCAACTCTTATCCGCTCGTTGGTTCTCATTGTTGTGTTCGTTTCAGCCATGAACACCGCCTGGTTTCATGAGTGTGTAGAGAATTGGCCTTCTTTTATTCTCCTTGAAGCGGCTCCACTTCACACTCACATAGGTGATTTCTAAACATGTATTCCGAAAATACACTATTTGATCACAACACGTGTCAAACTTAGAAACCATTAAAAATCTTTCATATTTAGGTTTACCCTTATATCTTGGACATTGTCTCATCATGAGAATGGACTTTTAATAAGTTGACAATGTCGGACCATCATTCACAACTTTGTTTTCTCCTTGAACCTAGAGGTTGGGTCTGCCAATCCTGCTTAGGTAGAGTTACCGCCATGATGATTTGTCCTAGGCCACGAGTCCATTCCCTTCGATGCTATCGTTAATTTCTAGGTAGGCCTAACGTTTGTCATCACTTGATCTAAGATGATCAATCCAAATAACTTTGCTAGAAATTAATCAATCCATAGTGTTACGTTTCCATTATCTTTGACGAGATTTATCACATAACACTCCTAGCCCTTGCAATAACACCTTTGTGCACAAGTGCGTTTTATTAACGCCAGTCTTTGCGGGCCAAACTACTCAACTTCACCGGTCTTAAAGTTTAACTTGGACGTTTTCCAAGATACTGCTCCTCGTTAACCATAAATGCCTATCCATTAATGGACTATGGCTTTTGGTTCACCCAGTGAGTTCCTTTGGGTAAAATTCACCAAAGACTCGTCTCTTTTCGATTCACTACACATCTTGTGACCTTGATTTGATTTTATTGCCTTGCAATAATCATAACATATGCCAAAGGTATTGAAGTCTCTCCACTTCATTAACCTTAAAGTACTTGAGCTTCACAAGTATCTCTTTAAATGTAGTGACATTTATGACTTAGCTTAGGGTTTAATCAAATCTTCTAAGTATCACTTTCACTTTAGAAACACCCAAGCGACATTCCACATTACTTTCCCCCAACATTACTTTCCCCCAATTTATCCCCCACATTTCAACTATTTCGCCATAGTTGTTGAAACCAACGTTTCCGGTTTGGGGAATGTTGTTCATATACATTCATGTATATGGTCAAAAGTATCTCTTTGGGAAGAGTGGATCAACATCAATAAATATTCTAGCTCTCTGACATAACGTCATTATACGCTAGAGTTTACTCATAAGTTATACCCTTGGACTGGGTTAACTCCACAAGGTTTAAGGACTCTCACTTTCTCATTGGACACCTTCATATTTTCAAGTTTTTACCTTTCCACCTTTGTCTTATGGATAGGTTTGCGTCCCATTGTAGGGTCTCGAGATAGTAGCCGAAACAATGGCTAGCTCTTCTCCCCCACAATTCTACCCTTTGCCAAACATCATGGAATAATCCCATTTATTTTCCATGGTTTTACTTATTGAACTTGCCAACCACTATATGTATCTAATTGTTTACCAGTGGTATGATCTCACTCGATTAGCATACCACAAACAATTCAGATTTTATTAGAAAAATCACCCAATTACTTACCAATGGTATTGATCAAGGCAACTTGAGACGTCATAAGTAATTCAGATGCATTCCAGTAATGGAAATCCCATCTAATTACTTTCCAATGACATTTCATATACGTAACATGATATACCACAAGTAATTCAAACGAATTTCTAATTCAATTGTCTGATTACTTTCCAATGGTATAACCTTTACAAATATACCATAAGTAATCCATACTTAAGTTCAATAAGATCATCTTAATTGAGCTCTCATTCCAAATTGTTTTCCAATGATATACATCTATATATACCATAAACAATTCTGGTAACTAGCTCCACGTTGATAATCATAGTCATCTTGATGACGACCATCATTTGGCAAGCTTATTAAATCCCTTTAAGGATCAATCATAGCTTTATTTTCCTTGCCCTCGTGGCATAGGAAATATCAAGTCCTAAACCACATATATAATAAACAAATTATTATGTCATCACAAGCATCTTAGGAATTAGAATTCCTTATCACTTATGGCTTACGCGTAATGCAAACCTTTAAACGTGCATTAACCAAATTTCATCTCCAACACATTGGAGGTATACTCTTTCAAACTATGTCCAACAAACTATGAACATTACGTTTGCAACCATTCCGACTTAGATAGACTTGATTCACAAGTCCCCACTAGCCTTGCACCATAGGTTTTTACACACCTATGATTGTTCATATTCTCCCACTTGATAGTTTACTACTATCCAAACCACCTTTACTTAGAGTCCATGAAGGATTATCATAAGTACTTCCATCATCTCATGCATCACCCTTGAATGAAGTCCAAATTAAATTGGCACATTTATCATTCATCCATGCCACAAAAAAATGAAATGGACCAATGCAATAAAAGCATTAAAACTTTGTGGTTAATTTTGGAACCAAACAAACTCATAAGGTTTTATCCAACTAATTTTCCATTTGGGAGATAAGAACATTTGTCCTTTATTCATCATGTAAATACACGACTTACATAGGTACACATATTAATACCATATGTATATATACACACGCATACATATGTCTACTCCTCAAAGGAGATTACAATACATATACAAGAATCCTAAGGATTCTTGGGGTCGAAGTCAGGATCAGAGAGGCATTCATCGGTCTCTATGTCGGAGTACTTCTCTTCGTTCTCCGATTCCTCAACTTCCTCTTCTTCCCCCATACTCTCCATCGAGTCCACATGGGTGGTGCCCACATCGTCCACATTAGGACCCATTGAGTACCAATCATAGATGGGTATTCCATCTAGAGTCCAATAATTGGTTGGATGCTCTCCACCAATGTCATTATATAGCACATCCCCGCTATCGTCATAAAAGTCGAACCATTCTCCATTCTCAAACTCCATTTCGGGAG